TTCCTAGAAATGCTTTTATCTTTGCTATACCTTACTTTGTACCACCCTATAAAAAAATAAAATAGAACATTATTAATAATAAAATTGTGTTGACAATTATTTCTCTATTAGTGGTATTAATCATTGTTGAATATCAATGGTTTAGTTTTTTGTTAATTTTTTGTTATAAAATAATATCAAAATTTGTTGAATTTAACAAAAGTCTAAATGGTGCTCCTAATAACTTACTTGATTTATCCTCTTCTAGCTATTAGATATCCAATTTACTAGTCTATTTCAATCAAATGGAAGTAATGTTATTCTTTTAATGTCCGCTTGATTTACTCTAATTTATAATTAAGCTTGATCCGAGACAAAAAGGTTTTAAATATATAAATGACATATTGAATATTTTATTTTTCTCCTAATAGAATTAAAGAGGTATTTATAATATATTATGTCATGATTTATTTTTTATTATTAATAAGCAATTATATATCTTTAATAAGTTCCACATTAGCTTCCTTCATCACTATTATATTGAGTACTTCTACTACCATAAAGAATAGGTAAGGAGCAAGTAGACAACCATACCTCATTTCTCTAATCTTAAAAGACTAAAAGATAGACCCATTAATTTTCTCACATGTTTTTACATCAATGAGTAAAAAATTAACCATATAAATAAAATTTTTGGGTAATCCAATTGCCTCCATTGTATGTAATAGAAATTTCTATTCTACCATACTACTTTTCAAAAGTCCAATTTCAAAAAAAGATGTAATTGACTTGATTTTTCATACCATTGTTTCATGTAACAAAAGTAGTTTATTCAATATATATCTAATAGGTAAAAAAGTTGATTGATCCATATTGACAATATTCATCAATACTAATTGAAATCAAAGTTGCATAGCTTTGGGATATATTTTTTATCCTACATTGAGTAGAGTTATAGGCCTCCAATTTAATAGATTATACTGTATCTATTCTTTATGTAAAAATTCTATTAATCCTTGGATAACTCTTCAAAAGAATTATTTCTTTTGTATGCTTTTCTACAACATGATTAAGTACTTTGGTCTCAAAATGTCTTAGAATTTTTCATAGAATTCTAAGATAACACCATTTTGGCCCAATGATTTATCTCTACTTATATTTTTTTTATAACTGCTATGAATTTGACTAAAGATAGGAGCTTACTTAATCTTATTTTTTTTCTATGTATTTAATCTTTCCATAATACATAATAAAGCTTTAATTTCTCCCTACCTTGTTATTTTTGTGGCAAGACGGGCTCTGGAGAACTTATTATAGAATTAATGGCATATATAGGCCAACACGTTTGAATGACTATGTCGCTTTTCACTTTTATTTGCTAATTTTGTTATATTAGAAGCTGCCAATCTTTTCTTGTGAGTCCAAAAAAACTCTCCTATATACTACTCAAAGGCTTTCTATATTTTTATCCTAATTCAAATATCTTGATCTTTGATTTTCTATTTTTTGACTTATTAGATTAGATTTACATAACATGTGAGTTTTTCTTGGTAGATTGTATTACCAGGGCTATACTATAAGTCAGTAATGACTTTGGCTAGTTACCTTTGTATGGTGTCTCTAGTTGCATTTCATTCTATTGCATGTTGTACACAAAAAGTACAGTAAAATTTCACACACTTCTGGAGCTTACCAATAAATAGTATTGTATAATAATACAACGATATGATAAAAAAAGAAATAAAAGATTATATTATAAAATAACTTAAATGAAAATACATTAAAAAATTATCTTAAAAATATATATAATAGACAAGAAGGTAATAAAAATTAATAAATTCTAATATTACCTTTTTAAAAAATAAACTTTTATTTATTTTTTAAAAGCTTAAATGAGTCAAATCAAAATAAATGAGATAAATAATTAATATAGGTATTTTTAAGAGAAGATTGAGAATAATTTTTAGCAAAAATTACCTCAAAATATGAAGAATTAATACCAAAAGAGGACCTATTATAAACTTAGGTTAAATCACACCCCAAGGCACATAACTATGTACCTATGGCAACTCCAAGGTTCTTTAGACAATTCAAGAGTATAGTCTAAGAGTAAACTTATGCAAGTATATTTTAGAGTTAATTTCATGTATTTTGAAGATATGCTGAAGTTTTGAAGGCCTTTCAAAGTGAAAAATATACTTAGTGAATTTAGATTTTAAAAAATAAAAATAAGGTTACAACTTTGAGGATTTTGTGACTATTTTAGTATATTTGAGAATAAAAATTTATCAATTTGTTATTGTGCTTGTTTTAAATGTGTAAAAAATTTAATATTAATCAAGTGATTAAATTAAAGGTTATGAAAGTTTTTGTGGCTTATGGTCCTAGAAGTTTGAAATTTAGGATTAGAGAGGATTTTTGCAATCTTGCAACATTTGCTAGTTCAATTGAATCAAAAATCATTGAAAGTAATTAAAATTTAGAATTCTACAAAACATACAATTTTTAGAAAAATTTAATAGTTCAGCAAAAAGAAATTGTTGTTGGAAGATTAACATTTGAATTGGAAAAGAAAGGCAACCAACATCCAAGAGGTTTTGGAAGCTTTTCTTTCAATAGGTGATTCTCTTCAAATTTTGTGTACATATTAATTGCTTGTGGATTGAAATGTGAATAAAAATTTAATCAAAATTAATGGTTTGATTATTATTTATTAATGTTTTAAAATAGCTATAGTAATTAATTAAGATTTACTTTATATTATATTGGAATTATTTAGAATTTGTTAGAATTTGATTAAAATTTAATTAGGATTTGATTAGGATTTGGTTTATAAATTTTTAAGATTAGATTAGGATTTGATTAGAATTTGATTAAGATTTGATTTAAGATTTGGCTAAGATTTGTTTAAGATTTGATTAGAATTTGATTAAAATTTGGTTAGGATTTGATTAGTATTTAATTAATATTTGATTAGAATTTGATTAGAATTTGGTTAGAATTTTATTAGGATTTAATTAAGATTTAATTAGAATTTTGTTAAGATTTATTTAGGATTTTGTTAGAATTTGTTTAAGATTTTTAGAATCTCATTGAGATTTTTTTAGGAATACATTAAGATTTGATTATGATTTATGTAGAATTTATTTAGAATTTTTATTTTAAGTATTTTAATGAATTTTTTATACTTTTTTAAACGTCTTTTATTTTAGTATTTTTTTAAGGATATTATTATTTCTTTAAGGTTTTTATTTTTTTATTTTTTTAAGATTTCTTTATTATTTTTTTAAAAAATTAATTTATGACTTTTTTATATTTTTTTGTAATTCATTTCAAATTTCTTTTGAATTGGTTAAAATGTGATTAGGATTATTAAAGATTACTTAGAGCTTATTCAAAATTCTATTAGACTTAGTAGGATCTTCTTGTTGCATTTTCAATTTATCTTCCATAGCTTAGTGTCTAATGTATATTTAAGCAAGAATTCATGTTATATAATAATAATAGAATTTTTTTGTACTCCATATTGCTCTCTTTATGTCGTTGTACCTCTTAATCTAATAAGTATGTCAAATTCATGATATATATATATATATATATATATTGATTTTTTCTTTTCTTCAAGTTATAACTTTACTTGTTACTAAACCGTTGGGTGATCCTAGTGATAGTTCTCTTTGAAGATCACATAGTTTGCATTGGTTGTAGTCATCTCATGGATTATAAAGTCATAAATTTGATCTAATCTAGTCAGCTTTTATAATCTATTGCACTGCTTACTGCCTTAGCTAAAGTAAAGTGTGTATAATGTTGGAAAGATGTCGACTACTTATAATGTAATTTTTAATAAATTGAATAGTCTTTTTTCTATCTTAGACATTACCAAGCCTTGGCTATTCAATTTATTACATTCCCTCTCTATAAAATTTCAATCTCTTGCAAAGATCCATCTAAAATCTGTGGCAAGTGTGTTTAATAATTCATATTATAAGTTGTAATATTTTTGCATGGTATGCGATGCATATACATTCAAAATTCCAACATCATTTTTGTCCTGTCTACAAATACAAACCCATCGAATCTTCCTCAAATGAGTGTGTTCCATTAATTCTATGAGGTGCAACATGTAGAAAGAGATCCATATGCTTATCTTGTCACTGCTCGCACCTTTTTTGTTAATATTATGGTTATAGGTTATATTGACCTTTTAGTCAAAGAAGCCCCTTTCAAGCCATAATTGATTTTTAATTATATTTAATTTAGGGTCTTATAATTTATATTCCTATATTTATAAAAAATCTATCTTAGACAAATACCTCTTAAAGTAGTTACATACCATTTTAACTTTTTCTAGGTCATTTAATCCTTTAATATTTTGTGTTAAGATTGTAATTTTTATATTTAAATCTGATCAAAAGGTAGTGTGAAGCAAAATAAACCTCCACAAGTAACGAGTCTTTTCTAATTCACAATGATGTAATTATCCAAATTTCTAACAAGTATCTGATACTGTTTAATTAGGTATTCTACAATCCAAAAAAATCCAACTTGTGATTAACATAAATCCCTCTAACATATAATCTATTCTAATTAATCAATATCAACTAGCTTACAATTTAATTGATTAAGTTGTTTCCTATTTTGTTTACTTTTCAATTCTCTACCAATTAAATTCCACTGTCAACTCCACAGTAACAATACAACCACTTAAAGAACACCACAACTCTAACACAAGGTAATCAAATAACTCAATCGACAACATACACTTAAAAGACAAATTTATATGATTTAATTTAAGCCTATATAATTTTTGTTTTATCTTACATTATTATTATTATTATTATTAATTTTTAATTTTTGTTAGTATTAAATATCATTCCAAAATTCAAAGTTCATCCAAAAGGAAATTCCATCTGTGAATAGATTTTCATCTATAAATAAGAATTCATCCAACCTTAGATCATTGTCATCTCTAATAACTCACCCATTCGAAATCCTAGGTTTATCTCAGTTGATTTAAATTCATACAAAATAATTTTTTATTCACTAAAAACTTGGTAATCTTGCCTAGTCTTTGAAGTTGTACTTGATCTTGGATTCCAAGCATTTGGAGAATTGAGAGCGATTAAAGCTTGGGACGACTTCCGTTCTCCCTGAGTGCTGCCTTTAACAATTTGTGGTCTTAAAGCCGAGTCGCCATGGTATTCTCTCAAAGGTCACTGCTGTTCATCCGGGGTTGATTCTAGTGTTGCCTTTTCCTTCGAGCAGCCCCACTCCTCAGTGCAGCATCTTCCTGAAGCGGGGAGTTGATGAGACTAATTGTAGTCGATGCTTTTCTTGCCTTGCTATCGCACATGCTCGGTAGCATGAACTCTTACAATCCTTCCAGTTCGAATGATACTAGCCGCAAGTTGGTTGCATGGTTCATCGAACAACAAGATTGTGGAGAGGGAAAGTGCCTTCCCTCTTTGATGTTTACCTGTTCCAGCACGCTCTTCCAATGCACAGCTAGCAATCTACAACAAGATTGATAAATAGCAACAAAAACAAGAACCTCAACGTATCATTAGCAGCCTACGAGAACAGTTCCTACATCTTCTAGGTGTGTTCTAGTGGGAGCACTTGGTCGTGAACAACAACGACGGTTCGGCAAAAATTATATCGCCCATAGTATGAACTGTATTGACTTGGTTTGCATTTCCAGCTGAAGAAAAAACAGAGACCACCAGGGCCCGACCACGTTGGAGAACTTCTTGAGTCGGCTGCAATCGAGAGGATTTCCCTTGTGCAGAAGAGTTGTGATTGGTTTTTAGTGCACCAGGACAAAATCTTTCTTTCCAATGACTTGTGTCCAATTCTGGGTTACAAGATAACATCAGCGAGGGCGCTGTGATGGTGACAATTACCACCGTCGCCTGCCACCTTCGACCAGCAGGAGAACATCACTAGGATGAGTGAACGAAGCAATGATGACAAGGGCAGGATCAGCGAGAGGAACAACAATCCCAAATCGATGAAGATCAGTTGCTCCAGGAAATTAGAAAATGACACTAAAGGGAACGTCGCTAGGGGGAACCAAGGAAATAAATACACGATGAGGGACTGTGGCGAGATCTTGGAGGGTTAGGATTGGCGCATGAAGAATCAAAGAAACACCGCCAAAGAGAGCCGCTCTCACAATTGAAACGGGAGAAAAAAAAAAAAACAAAACAAAACAAAACAAAAAAAAAAAAAAACAACAACAGGTTCCTCGACCACCCGTACAACAATGTAGGCGATTGCAGCTCCACCGTAGCATGAACACTGATGCTACCCTAGCCGCAACACCCCGGAGAAAACAGACTTGCTCCAACGTCATTCCAGCAACACAAGAATTGACCCAATGCAGTCTTCAATTACCAGGTCAGCCGCAAAACACCAGCTACCACAATCGAGCACGATTCCGCTCTCAGGCAGCCCCCTTGATCGAGCAGGCAACCGCTGCAGACACCATCACAAGAAAGATACAAAACAGCTCCGTCGAAGGCAGAGCTCAAAACTCACGGAACGAAGGAAAAAAAAAAACACCGGAAGAACGAGCCTTCGAAGGAAGCCTGCGTCACAACTCCGACCCCGCCACTTTTTTCGGTGGATGAAGAATGAGCGATGCTGACGCTACCGTTGGAGACCCGCGGGGATCAAAAAACAAAATAACAGGAAAAGAAGGATTGGAACACTGCGACTGCGACGTGTTCCAACACTTCTACAAGGGAAAACAACCACCTCCCTCAACGTGGAAGAGCAGTTGCACCCAAATGCAGCACCGCTGCACATGCCTAGTAGAAATAGAGAGCCGCAGACTCCGCTTCATGCGTAGCTCATACACCAACCCCGAAGGAGGACAAAATAATTCCGAAGCGCCCGGAGCTCGTGAAGACGTGAAGAAAAAACCAAAAAAACAAGAGAGAGAAATCCAGCAGCCGGACCCCTATCAACAAGGAGGCTGCTACCATTCAGGGGCAGCCTCTAGCCACCTTGGTCACCTTTTAACTTTTTTATTTTTTATTTATTTTTCTTTTATTTTCTTTTCTTTTGACAATAAGGGCTACTCTCATTGGTCATCATTTACTGTTAACTACACAAAAACCTATTCATCATGGAAATTTGTCTTAATAAATTCTATAATAGGTTGCATGTCTGCTATGTGCAATTTAATTTCTATTTTTTCCTAAAAATTCTACTACTAACTCACAAAATCTTTGATTTTAAGCACAATAAGTGTATTTTTATACTAAATACCCAAGTGAGTCAATTCAGTGACTTACAAGTAGGTTTTGACCTTTCATTTTAATGTCAGAATAGAGGAAATTTCAAGTTGGTCAGTGTATGGGGTGCTCCTAGTGTAGTGTAGTGTATTGTGGTATTGATGGAATTATTGGATCCTATAATTTTTAGATGCTTCTATGAGTTGATTCCTCCATGCCATCATTTGAGTAGATAGATTGTATAGTAGTGGTGAGCTAGATAGTTCATTTGATATACCATACATATTGAATCAATTCCAAAAAGTGTTAGGGACATAATCCTTAGAACCTTCTAGAGACAAGTTTCTAGAACCTTCTAGAAGCAAGTCTCTGGAACCTTCTAGAAGCTTCTTAGTTGGCAGAAGATATTAGAGACATAGTCCTTAGAACCTTCTAGAGATAAGTTTCTAGAACCTTCTAGAAGCAAGTCTCTGGAACCTTCTAGAAGCTTCTTAGTTGGTAGAAGTTGCTTGAGAAGCTTCTTAAATAGAAGTATATATTGGAATCGAGGCTGAAGAGTTCTTCAGTCTTGACAACACATCTCATGGAGCTCTAGCTCACCTCTTTGGTGTTATTCTCATCTGATTAATCTAGTTCTTGCCAATTCTTCTTAAACTTCTTGTTAGATCTCGAGTCTATATTTCTGTGTCCGTGACAAAAAGCTAATAATAAGTGTACTATAAGATCCATGTATGCTCATTGTAAGGTTCTTATAATTGTCCTTTGTAAGTATAAGGCTTCTTTCAAATAAGTTTCTATTACAAACAACATTACACCTTGTATTGCAAAAGACTTGGAGATAGCAATGCTCATTGCAAGTTTTGACATTGATCAGGATCCAATACCTCAATTTAGGTCAATATTTAGATAATTTTCAATCTTTTATAAGAAAGTCAATTGCTCCTCTATTCTTTTAAGTTAGATTTATATTGAGGGATCCCTGATATTCCTTCAAATACTTATTATAATGGATCTCATTTCTATTCTTCAATCCATTCCTTCTATTTGACTTAGCAAACGTGGCAATTTTTTTTTTTTTTTTTGTAAATTATTTGTAATATTTATTTACTTGTCTACATTATTGACATTAGTATTAACTCTTTTCATTAATAATAACTCTTATTGTGTCAATGTGATGATACCATCTTCACATCTTGTTATTTTTTGGAGGCTTTTACTTCATATTATTAGCAATGATCCTTGATTTTGTCTGAATATTATGCATCACTATAAAATTTTATTGTTTGGAAATAAAGCCCACTTACAATTCTTTTCTTGCATTATCTATCTTGTTGCACTAAGACTCTTTTGTCTTGGGTCATTAGTATTGATGTTGTCTTATTTGGTTTTTTTTTCTAACTATGACAATCTTTTTTTTGAATCCAACAAAGAAACCTGTCACTTGAATGAGAATCTCTGTGCCTTGGTAAGACGATGGAGATGGAGATGGCCTTGGATTAATTTTTTCTTTCCAATTTTTCAATTAGAATCTATTAATTGTATTGTTCTAATCAACATTTGAAGTGGTTGGAAGAAGCTGCCTATTCTTTCTTGTCTCTATTTCGACTCTATTATTTCTAGTCAAAGTTGGACATTTCCAAAACAAGGTATGTTATTGCTAGACAATATCTACACTTAATAGATAGGATATTATAATCTAATTATAAGTAAATTATAGATTAAGTCATCAGGTTCTTAATTGCAATAGTAAGATCATAAGTTATTTCTATATTAATTACCATATAAAACTTTTGATCTATATTATACCTATTCTTTCAATCCTTACTCAAGACAAAGCCAAAATATTGTACAATGTCTTATGTACTTTTCAAAAACTTGTCTAAGACAACTTTAATTTTAATTTAGGTTGAAATTTTTATATGAATTGGTTTGCAAGAATTAAACCTTAGAATCTATGTTTGTAGAATGCATGTACTCCACTTAAAGAGGTGGGGTGTTTGAGTGAGCAATTTTTTGTATGGATGACTTGTCATTACTAAGAACTTAAAAGAAGCGATGCTCAAGATTTCTATTTAGCCATACTTCTTTGTTTATATCAATTTGGATGAATTTCATTCATTCTTACATACTCTTTTGAACTTGCCATCCTCTCATAAAGTAAGCAATAGTAACATAGTGCAAGTAGTATTCTATCTCTTTTTTAATTTTATTCCGATCTAATGTACTTCTAATACCTTTTTATTTACTAAAAAATTAGATCATCTTGAAGATAAATCAATTGGAACTTGTTTCTTTGGCATAGCTCTAATAAGATGGATTTTAGCATACCTACCTAGATTGATTGCCATCACTACAAACTTTTATTTAATTTTATCTATATAACTTATTTGCTCCACACACCTAATTTGTTTTGATTGCATCAAGGTGACAAGCACATGGGCCATTGAGCCATGAGTAAGCTAGCATATGGTACTATCTTCTTCATTGTGCATAGTTATTATATTTACAATATTTATCCTCTTATTATGTTAGTTGTACAATATGAAGTTGTGTGCTTATAGCACCTATAATACTCACTCTTTTTAATGCACCCTCTAATGATTTTTTTTTATTTTTATTAAATCTAATATAATAATCATAATTTTAATCAATTCCACAATTTAAAGCTCTTGATTATATAAAAAGATATAAATTGAGAATAATAAAGTAATATGTGAATCATAGAATTGGTTTATTACTATCTTTTAGTACAAAAAATACACTTATGATGCTTAAAGTCATTAACCTAAGGAAGTAATATAAGAATTTGGAAAAAAATAGCAAAAAATATAATATCAATGCAAAAAAGAATCTTTGATAGGATTTCTTTGAAAAAAAAATTTAAATAAATAATTTCTCTTTAATTTAGTTGATATGGATTTATGATATTTTTTACAATAGAAAATTTCTATTAAAATTTAATTAGATTAAGAGCTAAATATAAATCTAATTTGGTCAATTCAAAAAAATTAAAAATAAAAGAAAAATAAGAAAATAGAAAAATAATTAAATAAATAAAAAATATATATTTTTATTTTATCAATCAAATGGATGTTCGCTAGATTTTTTAGAGGACTACAGGAATTCATGTAGTTCTAGACTTCAGCCACATTCTTCTAAGGGGCTCTTTAAAAATCTTCCTTTTCTGTTTTTTTCTCTCATTGGATATGAACTTTGAAATTTAGCATTGAATAGTTGGAATTTTATTCCAAGAGATAATGTCTCTTGCAAGTTTTGCTGCTTTTTTTTTTGACAACGGATATTTGCAGTAGTTGAAATTCAAGGCATTGCAATCCAACATGAATCCTTTTGTTGTTGTAGTGCAATCGACTTGGATATCTTCTTACTTATCTTTCAAAAGTTTAGTACTTAGCGGCTGTGCATTGGAAGTGTTTTTCTTATAGTGCGATGCTCTCTTAGAGAAACTAGATTCTTACTATGGTGTAACAATAGTCTAATGCCTAGATCTTTATTAGATTGTAATTTGAGTATTATGTATCTTTGGAGGGAATGCTGTGATTGATCTAAATTGTGTGGTGGTTGTGACTGGAATGGAGGTGTTCTTACATGTAGCAACAATAACATGCGATGAGGAGCATTTAAACTCTCTTAGTGGAGGATTTCTTCTTCTCTTTTGTTGATTGCAATGCACTTCAATCCACTTTAATATACACTCATTGTAATATTCTTCTTCCTTGTTGAGATAGAACAGATATTTTTTGAAATTGCCTTAGCCTATCGCCATATTTTGTTAATGTTCAAATTCATTGCAAATGTGTAGATCTCCCAATTGGTAATACTAAGAATAATTGAACTTGCATATGTAAGATAGAGTTAGAATTAGAGTCACTAGTATCTAAAAGTCATTAATTTGTTGAAAAGACAATGGCTTATGAGTAGTATTCCATTCCTAGAGTGGCCACAATATTATTAATTCATTGCCAAATTTGTATTTAGAATAACTTTTCTTAGTCTTGCCTATTTTACTAGTAGCTACATAATTGCCATCGTTTGTACTTACAAAGTTTTTACATACAACAAAATTAAGTAGTTAGAATATACACCAAAGACAATTAAAGCAATTCTCTAATAGTAGTTAAGACTTATTCCAGTAACATCTTTTTTGTAAGAACATTTTTCAAAACATATTAGATAGAAAATAATTATATATTATGAAGTGAGAAATTTTAAAATTGATAAATAATCTCAAAATGAAATAAACATTTTGATCATATGAACAAGTATAGAAATAAAATTAAATCATGAGGATGAATTTTTTATTGAATGAATAATTATAGATGAAATTCAATTAAATTAGATGAATCTTTATTCATAGATGAAAAATTATCTATAGATAAAAATATATGTACTAAAATAAATCTTTTTTAGTTAAAAATTTATTATAATTCACAATAAGTGTATTAAGTATTTAATTTTTAGAAATTTTAGCTCTTATTAAAATATTATTCTATTCACTACTAATATCCTTAAATCAACCAAGTTGTGGCATCATATTTTATGAGGTTTTTGTGGCATAAAGAACTTCCCCGATGTTATCAATTCTTCATTTTTAAAAGAAATTAAAGGCAAAGATATGTAAAAAAGAAGTACCATATGCAAATCATTTTATGCACAATGCTAGCAAGCATCACATTGTTTAGCATAATCATGGACA